CCAGGGCCAGCTCTTCTACCTCTTGGAGCTTCTGTTCGTGCAGACCGAGTGCGGGCTGCCCGCGCTGGCCTAGACAGAGAAGCCGGCTCTGTTGCCTGGGTCAGCCCTAGGGGTGGAAACCCCCAAGCACAGCACACTGAACTGTGCCCACAGCCACCTTTCCAGCATTTTCATACAGATAAAATCTGGCTAAAATGAACAACTGTCCTGGAATAGTGAAGCAGCTGATGATGCCTCATCTCTTGTTGGAATATGAGGGAGCCATTAGCAAGGCTGTTTCTTTTTTTTTCTTAAAGATTTTATTTATTTATTTGTCAGAGAGAGGGAGCACAAACAGGGGGAGCGGGAGAGGGAAAAGCAGGCTCCCCGCTGAGCAAGGAGGCCATCACAGGACTCGATCCCAGGACCCTGGGATCATGACCTGGCAGACGCTTAACCGACTGAGCCACCCAGGCATCCCAGCAAAGGTGTTTTTGAAGATTTTTTTTTTGTGACTTAGGAAAAATCTTACAATAGAAATTTAAAAAAATATATAATCTGTATAATTCTAAATCTTATATATGTTTCATATATGCAAGTAGGTATACCTACACATACATAGTTAACTCAAAGAAAATACATCAAAAATAACAGTGATTATTTTTTTTCTTCTTTATTCTTACATTTTCTAAAAGAAATAGGTATTACTTTTATATTCAGGAAAATAAATGCTGCGTATAGAGAAAATTTCACTCAAGGGTGTTTTTTAAACAAAAGGACTGTTTCCAAATCTTCACTGCACAGTCCCACCCGAAGCCCCCTGCATAGAAGAGCTGCCAGGAGGGGTGGCAACAAGTCTGGGGTTCTAGGTAAGAAGCTGTGTCCCACAGGACCAGCAGTGACCGAGTTGGTCCAATCAGATTCTCTCCTTTGAACTGACCCATACAGAGAAAGTAGCAAAAGCAGAAGAGAGAGAGGAAGGAGAGAGGCAAAGGATGAGTCACTCGCTGGGCTGGAGTGTGATCTGCTGGAAAGGGAATCCAGAAACCTGATAACTGGAGCTGCCCAAGCCCTGGACTAGCTTTCCATTCTAGGATTCTAGCATATGTGCTGCCGAAGTGAGCACTCCATTCTAGGATTCTATGCCGTGCAGGCTCACAATTCCTATTTTTCTCCATGAGGTCTTGGTGGTTGGTCTTCCTGGGTATCTGGGATACAGACTCATAGCTAAGAATCCTGTTTTCCTTAGTACCATGGGTAGCCTTATAACCATCTATGTGGGGGCCAGATTATATTTTGATTCTTTTAATCACACCAGACTGGAGTCTCATGCTACCAAAACCTTGAACCGGGCAAATGGGTTTCGCAGATCATTTTATTCCATATTAAGTACACTACCCAAAGCAGGGCCACCACCTGGTCCTACAGCATTTTGTACAAGTTCGAAAAAGCTACCCCTTCTTCAAGTTAAAAAGTTATATCAAGGGGCACCTGGCTGGCTTAGTTGGTAGAGCATGCCACTCTTGATCTCAGGGTCATGAGGTTGAGCCCCACATTGAGGGTAGAGTTTACTTTTTAAAAAAAGTTATATTAATTATTTTTCAACAATAACAATTACTAAAGAGAAAGTTATTCTATATAAATTACACAAGTAAATGATTCATCTTAAAATAATGGAAAATTCAAATGTTTATAATATTAGAAGCTTAAAGTCACTTGGATCTAATAATCTGTCATAAAATAGACATCTTGCTTTGGAAGAAATAACTGTTTTTGACAGTTCCAATGATTACTTTTTCTTATAGCTCATATTTTATAGAAATGATCATCAGATGGGTAGTCGTTCTTACGGAACTGTGGACTTTATGTTGGTTTTAACATATTTAATTTTGAGATGCCACATTCTTCACTGATGCTGATATTGGCAAAATTAATTGTACCTTAAAAATTTCAGTTATTTGGAAATGGATCCAGTAAATTATTACAATATTTTCATGGGAGGTAGTAGCTTTTAAAAAGATAATTTTAGATTGTTAAGTTTTTTTATACATCGATGAAGAATGTCTAAAATTCTTTAATAATCTCCCCAGTCAATTTCAATTGTACATTTTCACCCAGCTTTGGTACTTCATATTGATAGTAATTTTCCAAATCATAGAAGAAATTGAGACCCTTGCTACTCCAAGCACCTAGGATCAGGGTATCACCAGGAGCTTGTTAGGAACACAGAATCTCAGATCCTACCCCACAAGTACTGAATCAGAATTTGCATGTTCATAAGATCCCTGGATGGTCTGTATGCACATGAAAATTTGAGAGGTACTGATCTAGGATTCTGAAAGAAACATGATATTCTTTCAGTAATATAAGCCTTTCTTTTAGATAATGTTTTTGTTACCAATATAGGAAAAAAAAAGAAAAGAAACAGATTTGGGATCATAGGTCGATTGGTTGTGGAAATAGCATTTGAAATGAATCTTCCTCCCCTCTCTGATATTTTTACCTTGGAGAAGTTGGGGTCAATGTGAAGAAATTGCAATTTGTTTAGCATCAATAATACCTTTCTGTAATTATCTTTCTGTAATTTTTCTTGAATGATTTTCATAGCCCATTATATGCTTTCAAGGCAATGATATTCATTGACTTTGGGTTCCTAATTTTGCTAATATAGTAAGTAGTTTCCCCTTATCCACAGGAGGATATGATCCAAGATCTCCCAAGGGATGCCTGAAACCATGGATAGTACTGAACCCTATATACACTGTTTTTCCCTATGCATACATGCTTATGATAAAATTTAATTTATTAATTAGGCACAGTTAAGAGATTAATAATTAATAATAAATTAGAACAATTATAACAATATACTCTGGTAATTAAAGTTATGTGACTGTGGTCTCTCTCTCTCTCTAAACGTCTTACTGTGCTGGACTCACCCTTCTTCTTGTGATGATTGATGTGAGATGATAAAATGCCTAGTGATGAGATGAAGTGAAGGGGATGACACAGGCATTGTGACACAGAGTTAGGCTACTATTGACCTGCTGATGAGTCAGAAGGATAATTGGCTTCCAGATTGCAGTTGACTATGGGTAACTGAAACACAGAAAGTAAAACCACAGAGGAGGAGGGACTACTGTAATATTAATCTTACCTTCACTCCAAATTAGTCCTGAGCAGGGGCGCCTGGGTGGCTCAGTCTGCCTTTGGCTCAGGTCATGATCCCAGGTCCTGGGATCGAGCACCACATCGGCCTCCTGGCTCAGCGAGGAGCCTGCTTCTCCCTCTCCCTCTGCCTCTCTCCCTGCTCATGCTCTCTCTCTCTCTATCTCTGTGTCTCAAATGAATAAATAAAATCTTTAAAAAAAATAAAAAATAAACAAATTAGTCCTGAGCAATGCATCTTAAAGAGGATATTTTCAAAAGTACCCTTTTGACTTGTATTTTTATTTTTTATTTTTTAAAGATTTTATTTATTTATTTGAGACAGAGAGAATGAGATAGAGAGAGCATGAGAGTGGGGAGGGTCAGAGGGAGAAGCAGACTCCCTGCTGAGCAGGGAGCCAGATGCGGGACTCAATCCTGGGACTCCAGGATCATGACCTGAGCTGAAGGCAGTCGCTTAACCAACTGAGCCACCCAGGCGCCCTTGACTTGTATTTTTAGAATCTATGTTTTTATTCATATCATCAATATGCACTGCATACTCCCCCTAATTAAGTTTTAGTAGCAAGATGGCATCTACTCAATTTTCCCATCTCATATTCAACAATGATTTTAAATTTTATGTTCCGTAAATGGATTTTCAATATACTCCAACATTTGGTTGAAGCAAAAAGAGTAGTTATATAATTTCTTGGATGATATAAAAAATTCAGTTGCTGTCAGAATAGACTTTTGCTGCATCATCTAATCCCAAATGTAAAGAAGATGCAAAACAAAAAATATACAATGCCGTAGAAAATATTGAGGATCTTCTGTAGCGACCCATTGTGTTCTCTATACATACTTGTGGTATTGCTGTATCCAGTTTCTCTTGGAATCAGGTTTATAAATAGTCTTCTGAAAATACGTATATGCTTTCTTTTGTCTTGTCCTCTTGTTACTCTATAACTCCTTTGTCCAAATATTCATATATTTACTTTTTGGAAGTCCACAAACCCAATCACATTATCTGTTCTACATGGCTTATGCCAGGGGTTATATCTAAAATAACCAAATAATATTTGCATTTCAAACCTTTTTCAAAAGTAATTCATTCATTGCATCTACCATAATTTTAATTACTTGGTAATTAAAATGTTTAATACTATTTGTTAATCAATGTGCCCTTATATTACTGAATTTTGTATCATTTCTGCCAAAGGAAGACAATGTTCATCATTGTATGTGTAGTTTCCTGGATAATCTTCTCCCTAGTGTTGCCCTGCCAAAAGTATGTGCTTCCAGTGTGGTTTCTCATTTGCATGGTATCTTTGTCTGCATCTCTCTCACTATACTATCTCTCAAATCACATTTTGACTTTGAATTCTTTTTTTTTAAAGATTTTATTTATTTATTTATTTGAGAGAGAGAGAGAGAGAAATAGCATGAGAGGGGAGAGGGTCAGAGGGAGAAGCAGGCTTCCTGCTGAGCCAGGAGCCCGATGTGGGACTCGATCCCAGGACTCCGGGATCATGACCTGAGCCGAAGGCAGTCGCTTAAGCAACTAAGCCACCCAGGCGCCCATCGACTGAATTCTTAACACTACTGTTGAAATGCATTTTACCTTCCGTTCATTAGTAATATGTGATATATATTGCCAATCCTTGCACACATTTTCATTCCTCAGTTGATTTTTTCCCCATCTCTGAAGAATTTGCAATACAGATAAAATATAGAAATCACTGAGATAGAATCATATGGAGTTTTTGATCAATAGTAAGAATTTATAAATAAGTAATTTCTGAAAACTTCCTACCTGTGCTAATGGTAGTCAAATTTGACAAAATGTGGTGAAACCTTGATGAAATTTAATGAAAATAAATTTAAATGAAAAATTAAGTTTCTTACATAAGACAGACAAATTTCAACCAGATTGTTGTTAATACTCAAATTGTTAAAATATTCAAATTATGTAGCCAGTTACCTGGATAGGCAATATCCAGTCTAATGTTTTCTTTTTCCCTTCCACTTTTCCTCAAAATTAACCATTTATGCTTGGCATAAATATTGATGGTAAATTCACATCCTAATCCAACAGGCTTTGCCCCCACCCCCAACCATCTTTTCCAAAAATGTATCCAGTGATCTAAATTATTGTTTGTCATTTTCTTCTGTTTTCTGATTCTGAAACTAATTTTTAAAACTCTTCCATAGTGTCTGAGAAAAAAATCAATAATGAGTATTCTATTTTAGAACTTACATGTACGTAACATACAAAATACACAAGTAACAAGCTGCTAAATACTGTCAAGTGTTAATATTCTTACTAACAGAATATCTATAACAATAAGCAATTGCTATTATATAATTACTAGATCGTTAAATAGTAATCTCTAATTTATGTGCATATAATTTATTTTGTAGTTTGATGGTGATTCATATAGTAATCAAAGTCCTTGTAGATTTACATTGGGAACTCAGCAATACCTTTTGAGTACAGCAAATAAACAGCAGATGATGTGATGCAATGTGAAACATTAAATTAGCTGGTGTACTAATAACAATGGGATTTGTTTTTAAATACTTGCCTATCAGCATATCAATTAGAAAGGCATTTTCTTGTTTAGAAGCAGAAATATTTTCAGATAACATTAGATCTGTTGTTGGTTCTGATTACTGACTCATTTTTCCTTTGTGCACGGAAGCAGAACAAAATACATTAATCCTCTTAAAACAGACACTTTACTGCCATCTGTCGGGAAGTTGTAATAAACATACAAGTCACCCATCTTGGCAATAAGCAATATTAATAAACGCACAAAATTTTCAGAATAATAAAGATGTCTGATGTGAATGGTGTCCCTTTGGATGAGTACACATGTGGTGCCCAATGTTAATAACCCTATGTGGCTGCCCCAATCCTTACTCCACCTAGATTTTATTCTTGTTGCTTTCATACTTCTGCCAAAGGAGAAAAATTCCAATTGTAAAAACATTCTTGGGGCCCAACCTGGCGTCGCTTGTTTATATTGTGGGCTGAAAAACACGGGAGGAGGATGCAACTTACAATCTAACTTCTACAGAATGACCACTCACTCCATCAAGTGACACTAGGAGTTCAGGATTTTCGTCACTAGCCCTGGGACAGAGGACAGAGTTGTACTTGGTCTCCTTATGGCTAAAACCACTTGACCCCGTAGGGAGCGGGAGTAGAGGAGGGGCTGAGCCCAGGCAAAACATCAAAGGGAAAAACCTCTTCCTAAAATTAGGGATGAGCCAGCAGGATCCCAGAACAAAAGAACTTTAGGTGGGGGTGAGAGTGGGGAGGAAGCTTTACACATATTAGTCATAAATCTTCAGTGCAGGGGCGCCTGGGTGGCTCAGTCGTTAAGCGTCTGCCTTCGGCTCAGGTCACGATCCCAGGGTCCTGGGATGGAGCCCCGTATCGGGCTCCCTGCTCCACGGGAGGCCTGCTTCTCCCTCTTCCACTCCCCTTGTTGTGTTCCCCCTCTTGCTGTGTCTCTCTGTCAAATAAATAAATAAAAAATCTTTAAAAAAAAATCTTCAGTGCAAATTCACAAGCATCTTGCTAGAAAAGGGTAACAGGACCTCTGGCGTGCTTTGCTTAGAAACAATGATCATAAATCCATTAACATTTTCTATTCTCAGAAGAAGACAAATTGCTAAATGACAAGGTGATAAGAAACCCCCATTACACAATCCTATGCTCTTAAAGTAAAATACTGAGCGAGTCTATATTCCTTGCCACTCAAACAGAAAAATTTAATATTACCAATAACTAATACAGGGCAGCAAGCAGCCCCAGTACCTCACCCATAAGGAGCATTTATTTGTTGAATGAATAAGAAAAGTTCTACTCCAAAATTACCCCAAATGGGCCAAGTGAGCACAGAGCGTGCAGCACTGGGGGACGTGGGGAAGGATTCCAGGAGGAGGTGTTAACTGAGTCACGTCTTGACAAGGACGCAGAAGGTTAGCAGGCAGAGATGAGAGAAAAGGCATTCCAGGTAGGGATTAGAGTAGCAGAGGAGAAGCAGAAGAACCAGGAGGGCATCCGGGACCAGAGGGAATGTCAGGAGAACATGGTGACAGCGTCTAGTGAGGAAGCAGTATCTGGCAGGGACCACTGGATCTGGTGACCTCTGAGGGTGGGTGTGAAAGCCAGATTGCAAAGGAGGATAGTGACTGAGTGGGAGAGGAGGGAGGGGAGGGAATAGAGGAGCAAGTTAATTAGGCTACTCTCTCTCTCTTCTTCTGTTAACTTTTTCTTGTACAAATATATATACATATATATATATACACACAAATATATATATATATACATGCAATACACACACATATATACATACATATATAAATATTGTACAACTATATATATACACTTAGTGTGAGTTACTATGCTCTTTTATATGTATAATATTTATAATAAAACATTTCCTGCTGTGTTTTATAGATATGATATGTATATCATATGTATGTTATATACAGCAAAAGTATATAGTATACAGGTTGGCAAAAAAGCTGCTTTCCTGACTCTTAACAGCATAGATAAGTTTTTAGAGCCACTTTTTCTTTTTTTTAAGAAGTAAAAGGAAAGAAATGGGATGGTAGCTTGAGTGGTAAGGGTCAATGGAAAGGAATTATTTTTTTAGACTAAAGGGGCATTATCTTGACACCAAGGAGAACCAGGTAAGAGGGAGGGATTTGATATTTAAGAGGAAGAGGGTGCCAATGGACATGAACGGCGTAGGCTCAAGGTAATGGATGTAGTTGATATTGAAAGTAGAGAAGAAACTTCACTCTGGGGCAGCAAGACATAGGCAGAGGGGTCAGTCGTTGGGCTTGTGGCCCCAGGGGCCAGACTGTCCTGGGTTCCATCTCAGATCTGCCATATACATTGACAGTTAAGGGTTACTCGCTCCTTTTCTAAGCTTGAATCATCAGGATAACAACTATAACAGCAACAAAAATAGCAGTGACCTCCCCCCTCCACCACCGTTGGAGTCTAATATACCTGGGAGCACCCTGAAATGGGACCTGATTTCAAATTAGCCTCAGCCAAGCTCCCTAGACGTCTGTCCTTACCTTTACCCTGCTCGATAACCTTACCAGCCCACTGCAGGTTACCCGCAGAATCTCAGGAAGCATTGTGCCGGCCTCTGGAATTCTAAAAGATATCCCAAAGTCAAGTCAGTCTGATGTTCTAGGGATAGAAGCTGAAATCCCAGCACTCAGGGGGACCTTGGCCTCCAGGGCCTCCCCGAAGTTTACGCTCACTAATGGGTGGTGCTGGAGGGAGAGGGTGGCAAAACTCAGTTGGTCCAAAGACAGAACCTATCATCCACGTTGAGATAACCAGAACAGAAAGTGGCCAGCCAACGTATGTTGCCAAACTTCCTTTCCAAGGCCCACACCAACTTCTTCCAGGGGTCCATGTTTCCCATAGAGATAGGATTGGGGTAAGAATGTCTTTGACTTCACTAAATAGTCCCTGAACTCTTACCTCATGTTGGCCCTGATCTTGCCTGAGAAGCTCTGCCCCCTAAAGGAACTGGTGTTCTATGGCTAGGACAGCCTCACAGATAAGTTTGGGCACATCTGGAGCTCTACTCCACAAGGAGTGAGAGAACACTGGATAGAAAGTGAGCATAAATTGCCATCTTGGCAACAAAATTAAAGCCAGACTCTCTAAGGCGGGAACTGGAGGACAAATCTGTAGAAGGAAGGCCAGACCACGAGCAGACCCTGGGGGCCACAGGGTTGCCTTCTCTTTGGGTAACCAACCACTTACTGGTTTTCCTGCCACTGACATTCTGGCTTCACAGAGGCTCAGCTCAGACTTACTACTCTCTTAATTCCTTATAAGGCATCTGAGACAAGACTGGAAAGTTCAAACAGGACCTTAGCAAATGCTGGAGTAGAATATAAACTGGAAACAATATGGGTTATAAATAGGGCCACAAAGTTACAGAGATCACGCATCCAGAGAGGAGGTGAAACTTGCTTCAAGATCTCTGGAATCCACATGAAGTTTCTGCTGCCTGGGTTAAATCCAAAAGTTAAAAAAGAAACCCAGCAGAGAAACAGCAGAATGTGGTGGTTAAGGGACCATACCCCAGAGCCAGATGGCCTGGGTTCATGCGCCAGCTCTGACAGCTGGGTGACCTTTGGCAAAGATCTAATCTCTGGCAGCCTCGGTTTCCCCATCTTAAAAACAAAGGTGTACTAGTGCCTACAGCATGGAGTTTTTAATGGGGATTAAGTAAATTAATCTATGTGAAGCACTTAGGACAGTCTTTGTCTCACAGCAGGTATTAAGTACGCTTGGAATTTTATTATTGTCATTATGGACATGCTCAATGTGCCTAAGGGAAGAGACGAGGTGGAGCCCACCTGCTAGATAGGCAAGGAGGCAGGAATGAGATGGGGAGACAGGAATGAGCCCCAGGAGATGGTGGCTACCAAGAAGGATGGAGGAATGAGAGAAAAATAAAATCCAGGGTGGGATGGGGGCGGGGGGTAGGCAGAAGAGACATTCAGGTAAATAAGACTGAGATGGGAAACCCAGCAAGAGACCCGCACTTTCTGGAGCCCGGCTGTCCTCCAGACTCACCATCCTTCCCACTGGGTAAGAAATCCTGGGGGCTAAGGGGTGAGCTCCCCCAGCCTGTGTCCTCCCTTCTGGCTGCTTAGACTCTAGAACTCTTTTGGTAGAGCTGGGAAACTAAGGTAAAGGACAGCGGGGAAGCCAGACTCCAAGTAACCTGATTTCCGGGGCGCAGTTTCTCACCGCGGTTTGGTTTGCGCGCAGGTGTCCACGGGGCGGGGCGTCACGGCCGCTGGGGGCGGGGCGGGGGGAGGCGCCGGCCCCCCGCTGCGGCGCCCACCCCACCCCGGGCGCCAGAAGGCCAGGCCGCCACCTCCCACCTCGCAAAACTCCCACTCCGGGGTGTCCTGCGGCGAGCAGCACCTGTCAGCGAGGACGCTCCGGAGGGAAGGCAGACCCGCGGTTACACCGACGGGCGATTGCAAGCGCCGGGCCCTTGGGGGGTGCGGGGTGGGCACTTCCGCCTGCGGCCCTGGCGCTGCGGGCTCCCACCCGCGTGGCGCCCTGCGCCCGGGACTGCGGCCCCTCGGCGGCCCTGGGCGGACCAGCCGAGACGGCGCCGCGGTCTCCGAGCGCGACCAGCGCCACCTGCCGGACGTCGCCCGGAGCGGGTAAAGAAACCGGTACCGGAGGGCTCAGGGCTGGCAGGGACACGGGAGCCTGGCTTGATACCTGAGAGGGTCCCGGGAGAGGGGTGGTGATATCACACGGTGCCCAGGAGCGAGGACTCAAGCCTGGCGAGCAGCTCCTCCTTTTTCCCTCCCCTTGCCGCCCAGGAGGCGCGCTCCGGGTGCTTTTCGGGCGCCTGTCCGGTACCTCGCCGGATCCTAGGGACCGGGGTTCGCCTGGTGGCTGCTTGGGGATCCCCGAACTGGAGGGGAGAAGATCCAGCAAGCCCCCCAGCGCAGCGGGGGAATGGCGCTGCCAGGTCGAACGCAGAGAGGGACTCGTTCCTCTGCAAGAGGCGGCGTTTGGGGACCGGGTAAACCCCACCCCCTGTCCCAGTCTGACCCGGAGGACCTAGAGAAAGGCTTTCGGGGCTCTTGGCGCTGCAGGGTGCCCAGGAGCAGGTGGGGTAAGTGGGGGGCGCACTTCCTCCTCTAGCGGCAGGCTCACACCTTTCCCAGCCTCGCGGACTGGGGTCTCAATGTTGAGGTTGTAGCTGAAGTCTCTGAGCCCTGGTTTGATAATGATGATGGAAAAGATGATTAATAATAGTTATTAATAGTAGTATATAGCAGCTCCACTTTATGGGGGACTTACTGTTAACAAAGCGTCATGTTAAGCCCTTACCAAACACGAACACTAATCTTGCTGAATCCTTAAAATACCCCGTAAGATGTATTCTGGGACTTTGAGAATTTTTTATTATACATAAATATTTACATATAATATTACTTACAAATTATTATATAATATATAATAATATGGATATTTGGTTGGTTGAGATTTCATAATGACTATGGAAACCCCCTGCTTAGAGCTCAGCTTCCCATTGTCTCATGTGGGGAAGCAGCAGGGTGTATATGATCCAGCTAATATATCTGGAATATTTGGAGTCAGCTTGGGAAGCAGAAGTCATCTGAGGAGAAAATTGACAGGGAAACCGGATCCTCCAGTACAAGCTGCCTCCCTTTTGGGAGAGGAACCCCTTGATCCACCTACTTGCCTCTTAATTACAGATGGGTCTCTTGGGTTAATCCCAAATGGGACATACACAGAGGTCAGTGGTATTTGAAGTGTTCAAGAAGATTGGAAGCTGGGAGGAAGAAATTTATATTTATCTCTCTTTTCTTACCTATGTCTGCAAACCTCTAGCAGTATCAGCAGTGACCCTCCCCAAATGAGGTGCTATTGCAAGCTATTTACGTGAATTTTGTTTTCATCACTCAAATATCAGAATAAACCTCTGAGGGATGTATTATACAGAGGGGGAAACTGAAGGATTAGTTGGAAGTACCTTGCCCAAGGTTGCCCAGCCTTACGAGGTAGAGCTTCCAACTAATCCTGGGCCTCAGGCTCCCGCTCTGGCTGCCCATGCCCCCAGCCCAGTGGCACCCCCTCTCCTGCCCAGGGCATCCACTGTCTCACTTCCCCTGCTCTGGCAAGGACCGTGACTAGGGGAAAGTATTAGCTGGCCACGGCAGAGACTGTGACAAATTATCACTTCTCTTTGATGCCACATGCTTTTTAATCAAAAGAGCTAGGTAAGACCAGGCTGGCCACCCGGGGGGTAACTGGACTAGCCAGAGGGGCTCCTGGGGAAGATGGAAGTTAAAATGAACCTCTTCGGGGTGCCTGGGTGGTTCAGTCAATTAAGCGTCTGCCTTCAGCTCAGGTCATGATCCCCGAGTCCTGGGATCAAGTCCCACATCGGGCTCCGTGCTCAGTGGGGAGCCTGCTTCTCCCTCTCCTGCTTCTCCCCCTGCTTGTGCTCTCTCTCTCTCTCTCTCTCTCTCGTGCACGCTCTCTCTGTCAAATAAAATAAAATAAAATAAAATAAGTCTCTTCAGGATTCAGCCCCAGTCCCCTCACCTCTCCTACAGGGAAGCAGGCAGGTTGAGCACTCAAAGCCTATGGAGTCTGTTACTGACTTCACCAAAGCAGACAAACCAACCAAGGACCCAGCACTGATGATGTATTTGTGGAGTGAGGTACTCGGCAAAAATGGCAGCCTGGGTGTGTTCATAGTTCCCACAACACCACACGCTCAGAGGGTGATTAGTCATTCCGGCTTTCACCTGTCGTGTTATCTCTCAGCATACAAAGAAGTCCATATTTGTGAAGTGGTGAAACACGAGATGTTGCAGACCCTGGGTTTTCTGGCTTTTTTCCCCGCCCACCATTCACAGGGATGGGTAGCGAGGAGTGCTGATCTCAGAGACTCACCTCACTGTACTCATCTCCCAGGGGAAGGGGGCCCATAAGGGAAGCGCAGGAGGGGCCGCTGATGACGGGGCTCAGCCCTTCACCTTTGTTTCCTGATGATCTCAATCCCTGGATGTCACACCGGAAACTGCAGAGCATGCTGCTCCCTCTTTTGTGGAGCCCTGGGCCTGTGCTATCATGAGAGAGGCGGTAAGCTCATTTTTCTATTGCAGTTGTTTAAAAATCGTTTTCTCTAAATGATGACATCTGTCGAATAGAGAACAAACAAAAAACAAGAGTCAATTAGATTTAACCAATGTTGATATTTTGAAATATCTGGTTCAGAATTCTTTCTCTCTCTCAGAAATAAAGCACTGTAGACATAGTTACAGCTGTGTCCGTTCCTGAGAGCTCTGTCTGCTCCTGAGAGGAAAATTTAATGGGGTTGGTGACTGACTCCCATGTATATTGTACTTTCCTTTTTTTTTTTTTTTTAGTATTTTATTTATTTGAAAGAAAGAGAGAGCACGAGCCAGGTGGGGGGGTGCAGAGGGAGAGGGAGAAGCAAGCTCCCCGCTGAGCAGGGAGTCTGCTGTGGGGCTGGATCCCAGGATCCCGGGATCATGACCTGAGCCAAAGGCAGATGCCCAACCTACTGAGCCACCCAGGCTCCCCAATATATCCAATATATTATACTTTCCTATACAGATATGAAGCCAACAGAAATATGTCATATGGCTTTCTGTGTTTTAATTTTCATTAGGGGTATCATACTATACATATACATCTCTTTCAGAGTTTCTTCTTAATGAACCCTAGGCTCCTTTACTTGTCTGGATATCTATTCCTGAAATATTGCAAAGATAGGCATGAGGGAAGGATATGGTAAATGACCAGGTCAGTGATTTACTGCAGACAAAAAAATCTTTTTTTTTTTTCATGATTTTTGTCCCCCCCCCACAAGTACATTTTGAATGGCAGACACCTGGGATTAAGCTCTCATTGTCCATGTCTTTTGTCCACAGTCCAGGTGGATTTTGTGGGATGCCGTGCAACCCAGGACAGCCTAGAAGGGACCAATCTCATCCTTTTATCGAGAAGAAACAGGCCCAGGGAGGAGAAGTTTCTTGCTCAAGGTCATAAATCAGTCATTGGAGAGAGAGGAACACTCATCCAATCATTTATTAATTAACTTAACAAATATTTATAGAGTGTCACCTGTGTGCCAGGAACACAGGTACCTGGAAAGCCTCCGGGGGTCAAAAGAAGGGCATTCCTATCTTTTTGCACTTACATTCTAGTGGGCAGAAATACAGAGCAAACTAAAAATATAAATCACTTAATATCCACAGGGGTAAGTGCTATGGAGAAAAGTGGAAGGCGATCACATTTAGGGGTGGTGGGCCTGTAGGTGGGGGGGACAGGTTGCAGAATTAAATAATAAGGTCAAGGTAAACCTCACTAATGTGTGAGGGAAGTGAGGAAGAGAGAAGAATATTCCCGGCAGGAAGGACACCAGAGCAAAGGCCCTAAGGCAGGAGTTTGCTGGCAAGTTGTAGGGACAGCAAGGAGGCTATTGTGGCTAGAGTGGAATACCAGAGGGACTGAGTGAGTGAGGGACTAGGAGGAGAGGGGGCCAAAATGTCAGTGACAGCCATGTCGTGTAGGGCCTCACAGGCCATGAGGAAGATTCGGTTTTTATTTGAATGAAATGAGGAATCCTTATAGGGTTTACATAGAGCAGTGACTTGATCTCATTTAGGTTTTAGTATGATCACTTCGGCAGTTTTGTTGGGAAGAGACCGTGGTAGGGTAAAGCACAAGCTGGAGGTACTTGGGAGGCTGAGCTAGCAATTTAGACCAGACATGAGGTAGCCTGTCCTGAGGATGAGCAAAGGAATGGTAAGAAGTGAGTGGGTACTGAGCCATTCCACCTACTGTTCCCTTTGCCTTGGGTGCTCTTCCCTGTATATCTGTTTTCTCATCTCATTCAGGTCTCTGCTCAAATAGCACTTGATTAGAGAGGCCTCCCTTGACCAACCTGTATTAAATATCAATATCATGCCTATATATACCCTTCATCCTATCCTTATACTGGTTTTTCTTCATAATATTTATCACCATCTGGCATATCTCTTTTTTCCCCTTAATTATCTCCCTCCCCTGACCAGAGGAAAAGCTCTATGATAGTAAAGACTTCGTCTACTTTGTTCACTGCTGTATTCCCAGTGCTCAGGAGAGTACCTGACCCATAGTAGCAGCTCAAAAGTGACGTGTTAAATGATGAATGAGTGGATCTCATTTTCTGTATTAGAGAGAGGCACCCCAACGGCTTTTATAACATCACTTCAAAAGTGATGTGCCATCACTTCTGCCATATTCTGCAGTCACCCGGACCAGCCTTGAGACAGTGTGAAAGGAGAAACTACGCAGAGGCATGAATACCAGAAGGCAGTGATCCTGGGGCCCATCTTGGAGGCTGAACACAACAGTCCTTTTTATCAAGACCTTTCTCCTCCCAGCTCCAGCTAATCATGGACAGTAAACTGGTGACCCACAGCTACACAGGGCACATTTATGTGTGTGTGTTTTAAAGATTTTATTTATTTATTTATTTATTTATTTATTTATTTATTTATTTATTTGACAGAGAGAGAGAGAGAGCATGAGCAGAGGGAGGGGCAGAGGGACAAGCAGACTCCCTGTTGAGCAAGGAGCCCAACGTGGGGCTCAATCCCAGGACCCCAAGATCATGACCTGAGATGAAGGCAGATGCTTAACTGACTGCGCCCCCCAAGCGCCTCGGGGCACATATGTCTTGTTTTTTTCTTTTTAAAAAGCAAAAACCAGAAAAAATAAAATAAAATAATAAAATAAAATAAATAAAAAATAAAAGCAAAAACCGGGGCGCCTGGGTGGCTCAGTCGTTAAGCATCTGACTTCGGCTCGGGTCATGATCCCAGGGTCCTGGGATTGTGCCCCGCATTGGGCTCACTGCTCAGCAGGAAGCCTGCTTCTCCCACTCCCCTTGCTTGTGTTCCCTCTCGCTGTGTCTCTCTCTGTCAAATAAATAAAATCTTAAAAAAAAAAAAGCAAAAGCCATTACCATGTTTTAGGTTATTTGGGGCAACATTTAAAAATAAGGGAAGGGCAGGGACGTCAGGGTGAAGGCCCGGTAGTGAGGGCTGGGGCTGGATGACAGTTGGGCAGTTGGAATGAGGAGGCCGGGGAGAATCTGAGACAGTTGAAAGATGGCCCTGACCAGGGCGGAGTGATGTGGGAGACAGAGGTGAGGGACGAGGCAAGAGAAAAATTCCAGAGTCAGGAAGACAGGATAAAGAATAGTTTTCTGCGCGGAGAGAGGGAAGTCAGGACAGGATATGATCTGAGAGAGAGTTTCATCTGCCTTCACTGTACTAGAGGCAGAGAGGGGCACCAGGAGGACAGGGTCTTGCGTTCTGAGAGCTCACGGCCTGGTGAAGGAGGCGGGCATGCTCACAAGAAATTAGCCCGCAAGGCTGAATGAAAGAAATTTGCCCAGAAAGCTGCAAAACCAGGTCACTGGATACCAGTGGAAGGAGTTTGAAGTAAGTCTGGGGCTCTCTGACATGAAGGAGGGCAATCAGGAGGAGATGTCCTGCAAGCTCAGAGGTGGGGTTGGGGTAGCACTGAGACTGGGGGAAATGAATACACAAAGCTTCGTTGAGTAAATAGAATCAGGGAAAGGGAGAGTTGCTCAAGGAGGAACGAGGAGTCCACGATCCAGCCTAGAGCACTTGGAGAGCTGGAGACAGAATGGTGGAGGGGTTTCAAGCAAAGGGCCTGGAGCCCATGGGCTTGGATTTGAACACTGGTTCTGCCCCTGGTTGGTTGTGTCTTCTTGGGTGGTTATCACCTACTCTGGGCTTTAACACGTCCATCTGTTGACTGGCTATGTATGGTGAAAGCAGCACGTCCGGATAAAGTAAAATGGGGAGATCATAGCCCGCTCAGTACCAGGTAAGGGCTCAGTCGATGCTAGGCAGCTCGGAGTGCATTAGAGGGGGGAACATGAGCAGCGGGGGACGGTCCCATTGCACCCCGGTAGGGCAACATCCCTGAAGTTCCGGGGAGGACAGGGCTGTAAGGAGCGTGGGGTCAGGACCATAACGGGGAACATCTGAGCCCCTGGGTGCGTTATTGCTTTAATTTTTGCGCAGCAACATGCGAGGAACTGTGAGGAGACTGAGGCTCATAGACAGGAAGTGAGTGGCACAAGGGCCCAGAGCGAGACAGACGTGGAGCTGGGATTTGAAAGCACGCCTGTGCAGCCCCGGCCTGGGTGCCCCCACTGCCCTCCGGGAGCCTCCAGGGGGCGGGGAGACTGCGGTGTGGGCGGGGCCGCGGGCGGGGCGGGAGGGAGCAAGGTGTTCAGCGCCCCGGGGCTGGACTGTGGGTGTGGGGAGAAGCTTCACGGACTGGCAGCACCTTGCACTTTATTTAATGAGGTTAATGGAGCCATTAATGTCATTTCAGTAGGAAGAGCGGTGATAGAATTTATTTTGAAAGCTGCCTCTGCTTCCTCTGTGGGATGTGAATCGAGCGTGCACACGGCTGAAGGTGGGAAACCAGGAGACTGCGGTGGTCGTGCAGGGGACAGATGACCTGGCAGCGTCCTGTAGCAGAACGGCACACTGAAGACATCGTCCAGGGGGTGACCCCAGGAGTCTTGCAAATGTGAGGACAGCAAGGGTCGTGTTGGAGCTGGGGTGGGGGGATAGGGTTTGTGTGAGCAGGGGAGAGAGCAGGGTTTTGAAGGCGGGCTCTGATGCGCGTGGTCATGTCGCGCAGGAGCTGCGGTTGGGGAGTGGTGCTTTAGAAGGGCTCTAGGAAGGAGGTGATGGCTTGAAAGCTTCAGCACAAAAATGAAGTCCCAAGTCTGGGTACAGTGTGTGGGAATAAGAAGATGGTTCAGCCTAGGAGAAATGAGGTCAAGGTGTGGTTTGGTTTTTTAGGATGGATGAGACGTGAGCTGATTTAGACACCAGTGGGAAGGAGCCAGTTGAGTGCAAGCAGGTGGAATCCCAATGGAAGGAGGGGACAGTGAATGGACAGGTGTCGCGAGAAGTTTGGAGTCGAGTGGAGTGCCAGGATCTGCCCCGGGCAGCTGAGACCAAGACTTCTCTTTTTCTCTGAATGTGCCAGGTTGTGGGAATGCTGACAGCTGCCCTCCGTGACGAAACCGGGGCTGCTCTGTGCTGTCCTGTCTCTCTGTCTGCAGAGGGGAAGAAAATGCAGCTACACAGGCTCTGAATGCACAAGCTGGCTGCGTCTCACCTGGGAGGGCTGAGGTGACTCGGGGGGGCGGGGGGGGGGGCACGTGGGGAGGTTCACTGCAACTCCGACTTCTCCCGGAGCCCGCCAGGCCCCGCGTACCACCTCTGCCTACAGAGCACCTGGCACCAGGGAGAAACATGGTGTCATTTGGGCAAGATAACATCTCAGAGCCTCAGTGCTCTGGCCCAGCCCTGTCAAGAGGGGTCCGACCAGGCTTTAGTCTCTCCCTGCCCCAGGGCCATGGTCCTTTGCTTCCCAAGCCTCTCTGAGCCAGTAGTTATTTAGGGAGCTTTAAAAAATATTAGAAAAAAATTATTTAAAAGCATTTGATTTCTAACAAGTCTAGCTCTATAAGTGGCTGCAGGAAATAGGCATTTCCTTTTTTTAATTATTATTATGTTAATCACCATACATTACATCATTCCTTTTTTTTTTTTAAGATTTTATTTGTTTATTTGTCGGGGGCGGGGAGAGAGAAAAAGAGCTGGAGAGCACAAACAGGAGGAGCAGAAGAGGGAGAGGGAGAAGCAAGCTCCCCGCTGAGCAGGGAGCCCAATGCGGGGCTCCATCCCAGGACCCTGGGATCATGACCTGAGCCAAAGGCAGACACTTAACTGACTGAGCCACCCAGGTGTCCCCAGGCATTTCCTTCTGGGACTATAAGTCGAGGTGACCTTCTTTAGGGGTGAATACTGTTTTTTAAAACCACAAATCTCAGAGTTGACTCTGGCAGGTTGAATGTCTACAGACACGTCCCCCAGAAACAGATGACCTGTCTCTTACCCCAAATAAGAGTCCCTTCTGGGTGAGACACAACAGCAATCAAAGTTGAAGAAGTGACAGATGTCCATGAAGTCCCCTTAGTGGAGGAGCTAGTTCCAATGGACAAGGTTGGGGTTGGCATCCTTCTAAGAGGGAGACCAGGCTGGGTATTTTGCTGGAAGTGGACCTGTTGGATTTCCTGGCTACCTCTCTGCTTGGCAACCCTGGACAACCCCAAGTCTATGGGCCCTGAGCCACAGGTGGGTCTGCAGGAAGATTCTAGTGCAGTAGCTTTGTAGGCCTGGGTGGGGAAGGGGAGAAAAGCCGAGATGTGCAGGAAGACTTATGCCCTGAACGTGTTTCTGAGAGCTAGGAAATAGTGCCCAGGTGAGAGTGGCCCCCTCTGCAGAGTCACTGTTGAAGGTGATGGGAAGAAAGGCCCAGAAGGAGCACGGGGAGAGCCATGTCTCACCACCAAGACTTCTCTGTTAGGTCTCGGGCCCTGGCAGCTTGGCCTTCTCTCTTATCCCTGTGCCTGCTACCCTGATTCCTGCCTCTTAGTTGTGGCCTCTTAATTCTAGTCTCGAGGGACCCTTGCACATCCCCATGACTGCCCTTGTCCCTCCATTTATGGAAGCCTCTCTCCCGGACTTCCCCACCACCACCCCCAAGCTGCTTTCTGACAGCCTGCTGCTTCCCCAAAGCCCCAGGGCTCTCCAGATACTGTGAGCACTGTGTGGGGAGCACCTCCTGCAGACTCCTGGCCCCCCTCCCACGAAGTCTCACACAGGCTGCATGGCCTGGAGTTTCCATAATGATGGTCACAAGTCTAAGATTCTAAGCTGAAACTGCCACAAGCTGCTTCAGTAAGACAATGATGGGGAAGAAGAATGTGGGAAAGGAGTCCCAAGGTGAAGTGGGTGAGGGGTGGGGGTGGGGCAGGAAGGCAAGCCTGAGGTCCATCTTTTCTCTGAAATGACTTTTATACCCTTTCATTGCTCCCCCTAACCTCCCAACGCCTCCCCTCCCCTCCGTCTCAGCTGCTACACTGCTTCCTGTTTAACCAAGTAAACAGATAAACTACCCCCCGGGTTGTATCAATAGCCATTCCACTTAAGCACTGGACCCTACCCTACTTCCTAGTCAAGGACATCCCTCCTGCAATTGACCCCTATCCACCTGCATGCACCATTAGCTCCCTCGCTGGAGGGTCATTTTCAAGCAAGTAAAACCATGCCGAGAAAGTCAACACTTAAAAATCAGCCCTACTGGGGCGCCTGGGTGGCTCAGTCGTTAAGCGTCTGCCTTCGGCTCAGGTCATGATCCCAGGGTCCTGGGATCGAGCCCTGCATCAGGCTCCCTGCTCAGTGGGGAGTCTGCTTCTCCCTCTCCCACTCCCCCTGCTTGTGTTCCCTCTCTCGCTGTGTCTCTCTCTGTCAAATAAATAAATTTTAAAAAAAATCTTTAAAAAAAATAAATAAAAATCAGCCCTACTGAGGTATAATTTGTGTATAAAATGCACCCATGATAAGTGTAAAGTTAGATGAGCTTTGACAAATATAGACGCCCATGTAACCACCATCACTACCACCATCACCACCATGGTCAAGTTCCAAACCATCACCATCACCCCCAAAAGCTATCCCGTGGCTGAGCAGCGTCCCCTTGTATGGATACAGCACGATTCGTTCACACATTGGCCTGTTGACGTGCAACTGGGCTGTTTCTACTGTGGGGCTACTATGAATAAAAAGTCTTTGTGTGGAAACACGAATCGCTGGGCCATATGATAACGTACGTTTGGGTTTACTAGAAACTTCCAAACTGTTTTCCACCATGGTTGGAACATTTGGCATTTCCATAGCAGCCCATGAAAGTTCCAGATGCTGTCCTTAGGACTGCTGGGGTCCCCCTCCGCCTCAATTTAGCCACTCGTATACGCGGGCAGGGGTACTCTCATTTTGTTGGCAATGTATTTTTCCCTGGTGATGGCTGTTGCTGACCACCTTTTCAAGTACCTGCTGGCTATTCACATGTCTTCTTTCGTGAAGTGTATGTTCATCATTTGGCCTATCATGTTCGCTTTCTACAGGTCACCACAAGTTTGTCAGATTAAACTGAAAAAAGAAAGTATGTTTATTGTCTCACAGTTAGTGTGAGTCAGGCACAGCTGAGCTGGGTCTTCCCTTCTGGTCTCACAGGCTGCCGTGAAGATGTTGGGCAGCACTGGGGTCCCACCTGGGGCCCAGGTCTCCTTCCAAGCACGCGTGGTTGTTGACACAATGCATTTCCCTGCAGCTGTTGAACTCATGGTGCTTTGCTCCGAGGCCAACGGGAAAGTTTTGCTGCTGCCTTGTGAGCCTCATTTAAAGGTTCACCTGATTATCTCAGGCCCACCTGAGATAATCTCCCTTTTGATTGGCCTCAATTACATCTGTCAAAATGCCTTTGTATAATATGATGTAACTTAATCACGGGAATGACATCCTTAATATCCACAGATCCCACCCATATTCAAGGAAGAGATGATTATACAAGGGCATGGTCCTTGGGGTCATCATAGAATCCTCCTTACCTCACCCATTTTTCATTGGTTGGTTTGTCTCCTTATTGAGTTATGAGTATAAATTTTGGGTACAAGCCCTATGCCGATCTGTGTATTGCAAATATTTTCTCCCAGTCCCTGAGTTCGCCTTCTTGTTTTTTTAAGATTTATTTATTTATTGGGGTGGGGTAGCGGGAAAGGGAGAGAGAATCTCAAGCAGACTCCACACTGAACGTAGAACCCAATGTAGGGTTTGATCTCAGGAGACTGAGATCATGGCCTGAGCCAAAACCAAGAGTTGGAGTCTTAACTGACTGAGCCACCCAGGTGCCCTGCCTTCTCATTTAATGTTTTTGGTAGAACAGAAATTTTTAATTTTGATGAAGCCTAACTGTCAACTTTTATAGTTCATGCTTTTTATTCCTCCACAAGAAATCTTTGCTTACCCAAAAGTATTTTCTCCTGTTTTAGAAGTTTTATGGTTTTAACTCTTATATTTAGTTCTGTGACTCACTCTAAGTCAACTTTTGTGTGATGTGAGTTATGAGTTGAGATTCACAGAGCGCGTGGGTGGCGCAGTCAGTTAAGCGTCTGACCTCTTGGTTTCGGCTCACGTCATGATCTCGGGGTCGTGGGATTGAGCCCTGGGTCGGGCTCTGTGCTCAGCACAGAATCTGCTTGAGAGTCTCTCTCCCTCCCCCTCTGCCCCTCTTGCTCATGCTCTGTCTCTCTCTAAAATAAATCTTAAAAAGAAAAAGAGTTGAGATCCACTTTTTCCAAGCAGATATATCATTTCGCCAGCAGTATCTTCTGAAAACACCATTTCCCCCATTGAATTACTTTGGTACTTTAACTGAAAATTAAGTGTGTGTGTGTGTGTGCAGTGTATTATATGTATAATAGATATATATTATATACACAATATCTTTCTAGACTATTTCATTGATTTCTATTTCTATACAGTAATCTCTTGGATTACTATATATTTACTTTAAGTCCTAAAATTGGGCAGATTATGTCCCTCAGCTTTGTTCCTTTCCACAATTTTTTGGCTATTCTATGACCTTTGAATTTGTATATAAGTTTCAGCTTGCCAACTTCTAAAAAAAAAACAAAAACAAAAATAACCCTGCTAGGATTTTGACTGGAATCACATCAAATATGTAACTCAACTTGGGGAGGAATGCCATCTAACAATATTGAGCCTCCCATTCATAAACCCTGGTATATATTGCCATTTATTTCCTCTCAGCATTTTTAGAGTTTTCCATGTACATGTTTTGCATATAATTAAAGATTTCCCTGAATATATGTCATATTGTAGATGCTATTATAAATGGTATTTTTACATGTCCTTTTCCACTTGTTCATCACTAGTGTATAAAAGTCAAATTGAGGGGCGCCTGGGTGGCTCAGTCGTTAAGCGTCTGCCTTCGGCTCAGGTCATGGTCCCAGTGTCCTGATCGAGCCCCGCATCGGGCTCCCTGCTCAGAGGGGAGCCTGCTTCTCCCTCTCCCACTCCCCCTGCTTATGTTCCCTCTCTTGCTGTGTCTCTCTGTCAAATAAATAAATAAAATCTTTAAAAAAAAAAAAGTCAAATCGATTTTTGTATATTGACCCTGTATTTTGTGACTTAGCTAAATTCACTTAATAGTCTAGTAGATCTCTTTTCAAGATTCCTTAGGATTTTCTATATACATGATCATGTCATCTGCAAATACAGTTTGCCAATCTGTATGCCTTTTTGCACAAGATTAAATAAAGCTGGAGATGCCAGACAGTGTCGCCTTGTCACCATTACTTTGGAGAAAAACCAGCCTTTCCCGAGGATTATTCAACAGTTGCAAAGTCTCAGCCATAAGTTCTTAGTCATTTTCCCTCAGTGAAGCATGCACATACACATAAATTTCACTGGGTGACCCTCTTGGAGGCCATATGTGTACTTTATTTGATGCCATAGACCCCAATTTAATAAATCTTATAAGAGGGAGATAAAAACAGACTTCTGGCTGTTGAGAAAGAAAGGGAAAACGAAGGGGGTTCCTCAGCCACTGAGAGCTATGACCAAACCTCCCGACTAGCAGCTAGTGCGGGTGAATGCCTACACCCAGTTCTATGAAGATGGCAGTGCGTGGGCCCCAAGCCAAGTGGAAGACAGGTGTAATTTGGAAGACCCAGGGATCAAATCTTCCTAAAGGAAGGAGAAAGTCATGAGGCCACCTGGAGAAGGTGACTTTTTCAAGAGCTGCCAAATCTTCCTAATTAACAGGAAAATAGACACAGGAAGGTAGACTCCAAAGGGAAATGATCCCGAATCTACGAATGCACCAGCTGATTGTTTACAGCATCCCAGAGTGCACAAAAGATGTTGGCATCAATAAAGCCTCAAACCGGAATAATTATTGGAATAACTCCCTCATACTTAATAGTTTAGGTGTTCCTGCCTCATACTACTGCCCAGGTTCCACTGTGAGGAAATAGCTGACCCTCTGGGCACTTCTTTGGAGAAAAGAACACCCTTTCCCTACTGGATTGGCTGGACAGTGCAGATGGGGTCATCCTGGGTAGCAGTTTCCTTAGGAAACTCTTTACTTTGGAGGGCTCCGGTGAACGGTGAAAGAGATGAGGTTTTAAAAGGTTTGTCTTGATGTGCAAATAGAAGACAGTGTTATATGGCTCCTCCCCGCCCCCCATATAAAAACATGGATACTTAGAAGCAAAATCTTACCCACCCATCCCTGGGGAGGCCTGGTTCAACAAGGTCTCTTCCAAAGACACCCAGCATTGGGAAAGATGGAGCGTGTACCTGTGTGGCGACCAGATGTCATGGAAGGAGGACAAGGGCACACCCCACCAGCACCATATGGTATAAATACCGAATAGGGTTTACTGACTCCTGAGCTGCCTGGAATCCCCCAGAGAGGTGGGCCAGGCTGGGCGGAAGTGGGCTGGACAACACGGTGGTAAAGAGGGGCCCTCGTATCATAAAGCTCTGAAGATACATGAGGTTGGGGTGGAAGGTTAATCCTGGACTTCTAGGGCTTTCTCGAGGTGGAGTTTCTAGGGATCCCCAAGAATATCCTGACTAGAAAAGAGGAGGGCAGACACGGGTTCCCTCACTGTGGACACCACTGTCCCGCTCCTCTGGGGTGACGGCAGTTCCGACCGCCCCATAAACTGTCTGAGAAGCTTCTGGAATGCAGCCCCTGCTACCCTCCAAGTGACTCTTTGTTCAGTCTGTGTCTTTTCTGCCACAACCGCTGAGGGCCTTCTACTTACATTCTATTCGGCCAATACTGCTAGGACAGCTTCCAAAAGTCACATCTTGTCTAAGTTCTGAGGGCCTGGAAGAGGATGATCCTAAGGGAGTCCCTAGACGGGGCCCCTACATGTGCTGCCTCTGTCTTTGGGCCTCTACCCCTCCACCCCCAGTGGCATCTTTCTGAGGCTCGCTCACCTGTGACCCTCTAGGGCTCAAACACTGTCCATGATTCCCCACTATAGCCAGACTGAGATCTAGAATATTTCATGAAAGGCCTTGGTTCCTCAGTTCCTCTGTCTGGATGTTCCTCTCTCCGTAGGCTGGGTCTCCATCTCTCTCTGTAGTGGTAACTCGCACTCTCTGCAGGCCCCACCTTTGTCTCACTCATACTGCCTCATGTGGCCCCAGCAATGCCCATCATTCGTCCTGGGCCCCTACCATCCATGGGTCATCAAAATCCAGCCAATCCTCCACTCCGGCCTCATCTCCAGGAAGCCCTCCTTGACTCTAGCTGCCCTCACTCCCCTCTCTCTCACTCCCTGGTTTCCAAGAGCACATAAGCCTTGAACCTCAGCCCACACAGACTTGGGGCTGCTCTCCAGTTGGTTTCTATAGATGGGTTCTGAATGCTTCCATCAACAGGAGCTCCTTGAACCAGGGACCACACAGCCCTGAGATCAGAGAGGAGGGAAAGAGTGTTCCTTGGTGCCCCCTGATGCCCATGCCTAACCAAAGCATGGACAACTAAGGGCTGTGGGAGGAACCAGAACTGGCTGAACGTGAGGATCCTGGGTTCTGTTTTCCAATGATTCCTAAGCCTATGGTTTCTGTCCTCAGTTCCTGCAGCTGTGAAATGGAGCAATCAGGCTAAGCTAGGTGATTCCTAAAAGCCTTTACAGTTTTCAGGATTCAGTGTTCTCAATTAGTGGTTGTCAACTCTCTTTGTAGATCAAAATCACTGAAGAAACTGAAAGGCTGTGCCCCTCTCCCAGGAATATAAGATGCAACTGGCTTGAGATGGAGCCCAGGCCCCTGGGATTTAAAAAAAAGTTCGTCAGATGATTCTAATGAGCAGACTTCACTGGAAACCTGAGATCCTCCTTTGGCAGGGAAGCCAGCTGAAGGACTCCCTCAATCCTCGGACAAAGCCATGGTCTCGTGCTTCCCCCTGGTGGCCAGATGTCTCACTACAGGCAGATTTCCCAAGCGTCTACATTTTTGAACCTGGGGCAGGAAAAATGTAATTAAGCAGAAGAGAAGAGGAAGAGGAAGGAGGAGAAAAAGACCTAACTTCTCCATGACCCAAGGGTACACAGACTCACAGAGATTAACCTCCCCACTTTTCCCTACGACTACTTGCCCCCAAAGACTGAGTTCTGGAGACAGTCATATCTGCGTTAAGTGTGAAACTTGTCCCTCTGGGTCCTCAGGCTGGGTGTAAGGGGGATTCAGAGGAGAAAGGTTCAAGGGGTTCCTGAGACAGCAAAGCCAAGCAGGAGACTTGAGATGATAAGACATTGTATGGAAAGGGCATGCTTAATGTTAGCTTTATCATTATTTACCGGTCACTGTAACTTCGGGCAAGATCAATTCTCTGAGCCTGGGTGATGACTGCCCACCTCACAGCACCATTCTGAACACCACCGTGTGCCCATGGACGAAGTATTCTGTCAAGGGCCCTGGAACTTTAACAGACTCCAGACTGTCCAAACTCCAGGCCTGTTTGATGTGGGCTAGGGCTTCCCAAACCTGGTTGTGAATCTGAAAAAAACTGGATAAGTTTTCTTTTTTAATAGAAAATAAAAACATTCACAGTATTACTTTATCATCACAATGCAATCTACATATTCTTTACAAGAAAATGTTTTAAAATCTGGTGGTCTTGAAGCTTACAGGTTAATAAGGCTCAGGGGGAGTGGAAGCAGAAGGGTGGGCTGAACATTTCCCCAGCGTGTGGTAGCCCACAGGACCATGTGAGAGAGGGTACATTTCTGTAGATGAGACCAGGCTGGGCATATATATGAAAGCCCTGGGGGTCTTCACATCAACAGTAATTACACCATGACTCTCTGCATCAAGCCCCAAATAGGGGGAGACTATGTATTGACACATGGATGACCTCACACGTGGGCCAACCTCCTTCCCTCCTCTTGCCTTCCAACACCAACCCCTGGACTTAGATCATTCCAACCCATCCTTCAGCTCTCACCTCAAACATCACCTTCTTAGGGAAGCCTTCCTTCACACACCTATCAAGTCACGTGCCCCAGTTTCAGTGTTCTCAGAGCATGCTCCATTTCTCCTCCCAGGATCACAATTTTAATTCATTTTAAGATGAGCTGTTTGGGGTCAATATGCTCCCAATGAATGTGCGACTTTCACGGAAGGACTGAGATCCCAGTACAGCATCTGGCCCATCACAAGGGTCTCAATACACTGTCATTGTTGAATGAATGAATGAGTCCCATCCTGAAAATAAACACTGTCTTTTCTCATTGTCACCCCAAATTTCCCTATCATTAATTCAAGTGGAAGAAATCCATTTCAACGTGGTCAGCTTAGCTACATTTTATTTATATTAAAAAGAAAGCATTGACGTCTTAGGTTAAATTAATAACGGATTATCCATACATTAGACATAGCAACAAAATTAATGCCTTACCATATCATTTGATCTCCACCTTTTTTCCAGAAACACTTGAGTCTAACATCCTTCTTGCTGCGCATGTGCCCATTGGCTTTTCGTCTTTGTTTTTAAGAGTCATACATGCATTTATCCCATCACTTGAATTACGGTGCACTCACTGTAGAAGCCAAAGGCAGCACTTAGCTTCCTAAAATCCTATGCCTGGCCATAGACATCCCTGGTCAGAATCACAGGTAAGGATTGTGCTCATCTGCCTTCCCCAGGCGGGGTAACTATCAGAACCATGTTACTCAAAATAGGGTCCCAAGACCAGTAACATTGGCATCACCTCAGAGCTTATTAGAAATGCAGACTCTCAATTTTCACCCCAGACCAAAGAACTACAATATGTGTTTTAATAAGCCACCATGGTGATACACACACATAAAAGTCTGAAGACTGCTCTTCTCGGCTACTGGATTACCAAGCTGCTCAGAGTTCATGGATCCTCTGAATAACAGCGAGTACTTGCTGATCTGGGTCTGGAAAGCCTTTCTCCCACTCTTCAAGAAATTCAATCTTACATAATTTGAAAAGGCTAAGAAAGCTTCTCAATAATTTTCCAAGTTATAATGACTGACAAAAGCCTATTGCTTACAAAGTTTGCGTTGGTCTTATTCTTCTGATGATACTTACTTCGCTTTATCTGCTTTGTGTTTACGTCGGATCAACAAAGAGACACTGGGTGGGTCAGTATCACTG